CCATCCATTTGAGCCATGGAATTGAGTTTTGAATCCAGCCATCCACTAAAAAGCCACCATGCAATCTGAGTGGGGAACATCTTCCCAAGTCCTACGATTTACCCAGATGCCTGTGAGAGCTGCAGAAGGAAGGTGGTGCCATGTGAAGCCTCAGAAGAGAAAATTAAGACTGTGGGGGGAGGGTGGAAACTCATTGTAAACTTTTCTTTCTTGCCCCATTTGTATTGTAACAAGCCAGTTGAATGTATTAATGGAGAGATGGCATTTAGAATAAGTCATAGAACAAGTACTGAACACCTTGGACTTCTATCTGGTGGGAGGGAAAACTTTTCCAGAATGTTTGTATTGCCTGTTTTGTAGAAATAGCTGCATATGCACACATACACCATTCACACCATTCAGAGTCTATCCCCTCCACCTACCTTTAGTAAAGTTCCTCAGGCTGATTTTTGCTCTATTGCACCAAAGCTTTGTGGGACCAACTTCCAACAGATTCCAGGGGGGAGGGAACTAGGCCCCCTCAGGTGATTTGCAATTCATATGCCCTGACTAAGGAAGCAATAGGAAAAATCCCAAACTTCAGCCCTGAATATCTTGCACTGGTGAGCCCAGATTGGGATTCCTAGAGCTCAGTATGTGCAATTTAAAGAAAAATTTAATAGCCTGGCATATTGGACATTACAAACCTGGATGCACTGAATTAAGAGCTAAGGCAGGAAACAACCCTTGAAACTGGGCAGCCAGTGGTCATGTACTAAGGAGAACCATGGCTGTGAAGAATTTTGGGGGGTATGCAAACCTGACTGGAAGCTAAAGGTGACATCCAACATTTAAGAGAACTAGCACAAAACATTGGGCACAACCAGTCATCCTGGAACCTTTCCTGGCTCTTTTCATGGTTACCAGACTTCCATTGGTTGAAAATTCTCATTGTTAGTATAATCACAGTCGCAATAGGTGGAACCCTCCTTTGTTGCCTATGCCAATTAGCACCTTTAGGGTTAAAATGCCTAAAGGTCTGCACAACTCCCATCAGAAGCAAGGGACAGAGCAAGAAAACATCTCTCATGATGTGCCAAATTGATCACCACTACCGTATATATGAACCAGTTGGGCTAATCACTGATACATCAGTAATAGCCCAAAATGGGGGAATTGATGAGAGTTGGACACCCCCTCCCCAGCCCAACTAAGAAATAATCTAGGAACACCCCAACTAAACTGGGTCAACAGCAGCCTGAGGCTAAAACAGCAAACACTTGACACACACAATGAGGAACCAGCTAGCAGCAATCAGGACACAACAATAAAAGTAATTAACACCTTTTAGGCAAGAAAAAGGAACTAACAATAGTCACAAACCAGCAAATCAAGAAAGACAAATTTTAACTCACCAATTAGAAATGGTAAGTTTGTTACCAATCAGAAATGACAAGTTTGGAAACCACAAAAGGGTATAAAAACCCCTGTTTAAAGATCACTCTGTCTAGCTAGCCGGGGACTCGAGCTGAATTGTCACTCAACGCTGATCCTCGAAATAAAACCTCTTTCTGGTAGCTGGCTTCACGATCTATTTCTTCTGCACTGTGCCGTCAAGGAGAATCCCGGCTGGAAGAACCGAACGGGGGAGTTCCTCCCAACACCTGCAACTCCTCACAGAAGAGTTTGGGGGAGCAGGCCTTGTGCCTTTGAATCCTTGGGGATTTCAACCGCAGCCTCGGGAGTCTTGGTGTCCTTTGAGTTTTCAATGCCTCACGGGCTCCCTGTTAAATTATGATTTTTACTCATTATGCTACGAAGTAAAACAATATAGTTGGTTGCTGATTTCCAATGGCAGCCCGTGAGATTTACCGTATTAACTCTTTCTAATCTTGCTTCTTATCCAATCCTCAGTTTGGATTGACTGAGGTGACTTGATCTGTTGACCAAATTGCAGTCTACTCTACATAAATCTTATGCCCAGTTATTTACAGTTAGAAATAACTGTAAATCCAGTATTTCTAGGGCCGTTATAATCTTTCCTTGTTTCACAATGGAACCCATGTTAAATTTACAATATAGAAATGCTGGTCTGTTAATTTTTTTTTGATTCGGCTAACTCATAAGAAAATGCAACTAGGCAAAGGTCCAGCAAGATTATTGATTTATTACATTTTAATTCATTTTCCCAAGGAACTCAAAATATAGTTCTTTATTCTTATAACAACCCTATGAAGTAAGTTAATTAAGAAAACATGAGTGACATTACTGTCAGCCAGTTGTTTCTGTCAGGATGAGAATTTGAGAAGCAAAATGCACAAACTTCAAATGCACAGTTTAAATGAAATACTATGTGATAGTTTTAATGTAGGGAACAACTGACGCTGCAGAAAACTGTTGTTCAATTAAATAATACAGCACCGGATAGGCAGATAGTGTGACCTGATACAAAACAGCTTCCTATGTTCTTATCCTTTTGGGAAATGGGCAATTGCCATAGGGCCTGGTTATTTGAGGGAACACCTGTCCGTCTGCTATATCTGCCTGGCGGATGTGATCCTTGATATCTTTGGGTCCGTTCAATTAAATAATGTCATTTTTCAGGATCCTGGAAGTATGCCTCCTCTGAAGTAGCACCTGCCTTATGGAACAAGGTTCTCCCCAAGATCCAGGTGCTCCCTCCTCCTGTTCTTTAGAAAAGCCATGAAGACCTGACTTTTCACCCTTTCATCCTGACTTTTCTTTTGGCAAGGGAAGGTGGAACCCTTCAATTCATCATGCTTGTCTTTTTTCTTTTTGTTTTTTATTGTAATTTGTAACAATTTTTGTCCGATTGTTACGAGCTACCAGGGTTATTGAGAGATGGGCAGTATATAAGTTTAAAAAACTATTCATTATATGATTAAATTAAATCATATGCATCAAGTCTTAAGTTCTTTTGTTTTTTCTCAAAAAAGCAAAACAAAAAACAACCCAGATATAATTTCCAACCTTATCTATGCTTGCTCACACAAATCTAGCAAAAGGGAACCTTTCAGCATCACACCTGCACTGTGACTCACCTTCAGCAAGATCATATTTAGCAATACTGTAGCTTGATGAGACTTATGAAAAGCCTAATCTGTCTCCATTCTGATTCTTTTCACTGCTCAGTTTCCAGTGCGGAGAAAAGGGAGGGGGGAGGTTTAGAAAGGCCTTCTCCTGTATCATCAGCTCAGTTTAGATTGCTGTCCTGCTTTCACGCTCCTAAAAATACATTGGAAATACATTGATACTAATACTGCATTAACTCTATACTATAGATCGCTTTAATTTATACAAACTTAAGGATGCTACTGTCCATGGAGTTTTCTTGGCAAGGGCACTGGAGTGGGTTGCCATTTCCTTCTTCAGATTCCTAAAGAAAATCAACCCTGACTGTTCTTTGGAAGGACAGATACTGAAGCTAAAGCTCAAATACTTTGGCCACCTAATAAGAGGAGAGGACTCATAGGAAAACACCCTGGTGTTGGAAAAATTGAGGGCAAAAAGAGAGAGGGATGGCAGAGGATGAGATGCTTGGATAGTGTCATCAACGCAATAACATGAATTTGAGCAAATTCCGGGAGGCAGTAGAGGACAGAGGGGGCTGACATGCTATGCCGTGGAATCGCAAAGAATCAGACACAGCAACTGAACAACAAGGATGAAGATTCATTTGTTGCTTTAAGACAAAGCTGATGAAACAGGAAACATTTGTGCAGATGTGAGAGTTGTTTATAATATTGTAATGGCTGATCATTCCTCGATATGTTTCCCTCTTGTTATGAAAACTGTTTGCTTATTTTGATATTCTTTCTCAGTGGAGAACTTAAGTACATATTGTCTTCACTTAACAGCCATTCGTTTAGTGACTGAAGTTAAGACACTGCTGAAAAAGGTAACTCAGTCCTCGCACTTACAACTGTCACAGTGTCCTATGACTGCCACTTGCACCTTCCCAGTTGCTTTCCCACAAGTCAATGGGGACGCAAGTAGAAAGTCTGAAATCACGGTCATGATGTCTTACTTAATGACTGCAGATGATTAATTTAATGACCACAACTAGGACTACCAGAACTGCCATCACTCAGCAGGATGATCACGTGATCCCAATTAAAGTAATTAGGCAAGGACTACTAATCTCTAGGAGATGACATACTCTTACCAGCTCTTCCAGTTAAGAAGACATGAGCCAGAAATGAGATGCAGACAAAGGAAACTGTAAAAGCAAAAGGTATTTTTCCACAGTTGAGGTAAAGTTCTAGTCACCCATTTTGAGTCAGTAAGTATTTTTTTTATATCAGCATGAAATCCGCTGTCCCCATTACATATCCATTTCATGCCTCTAGTGTTGCCTTTTCCAATCCTGCAGGTCATCTGATTTCCCTCCTTAGGGAAATAGATGTTACATAACTTCAGGCTTGAGCTTTGCCAGAATTAGGAGGGAAATAGTATTTTAACCCTGGTACAATCAAGGAGGACTTAAGGTTGTCTCACTCATGGCCTGAGAATGAAATGAAGACACGAATATGACAGACATCAACATAATAAGAATACATTTTTTCTTGAAAGAGTGCCAGAAGGTATTAATGTAGATGCTATTTAATAATACATATCATGACCCTCTTTTTAAAACATTAGTTTTCTAAAGGTAGCTAATTCGTTGTGCCAAGGGTTCTGTAAATTCCGTTAGGACCAGGGCTTTTTTTTCTCATAGAACACCCAGAACAGAGTTCCGGCACCTTTTTTGGATGGAACCTTGTAAGGTAAGCAAGGCAGGTTGTATGACGTGTGTGAGTTCTGGCACCTTTTTTTTTATATATATATATATAGAAAAAATGCACTGGTTAGGACCATCAAAGAAAATTAGAGCATGCCTAAATTCCATTCAGATTGAGACAACAGAGTATTTTATGGGTATATATTCTGAGAAAAAAAAATAAAACTTATATGGATGTATTAGATAACTGTACAGAAGTATTACCTTGTAAATATTTAATTCAATAGATTTCAAGAAAATGCATCGCATTTATCATTTATTGGCCCATACTATTGACTGATCATGCTATAGCTTGGCTCAGCATTCTCTTTCAAAGGAGATTTAGTAGGATTGTAGAAAATAATCCTTGATGAAACAATATTGCCTACTAGGGCTTCAGTGCAGCTTGCCTTCTCTGCATGGCACCTGACTTACGAAACAGCCTCTACCCAGAGATACCAATGGCCCCAGCCCAATTGGCCTTCAGAAAAATAATGAAGACTTGGATTTTCTCCAAGGCACTGGATCTAGGATGGCTCCAATGGTGGAGTAAATGGAGATGGTTAAATGATTGCAAGTTTTATTGGGGCCCCATGATCTTTTTTTAGTGTACAGTACTATATTCTGTTGCTGCACAGTGTTCCTTTTTGGTAGATGGGCAGCTATATCAGTTTGCTTAATAAATATGTTTGTTTAATAAATAAGTAATAAAACACAAAACTGAGGGATACAGCAGAAAAGGTTTCTGCAGTCAATCACATGATGTCCCTTTCATATATTTATAAAATATTACTGATCGTGCCTTCTCTGTTGATTCAGATTTCAACTGCTGTGTTAGTATGCAGTCAAAACTTACACAGCAGTGAATGTAGAATCAGCCACATGCCATGCCCACTGTACATTAATCTTGGGTGAATTCCTTAGGGCAGTTAGAGGATTTAAATACATCTGGAATCTCACTATCAAGCTTGGAAATTATTTTGTAAATTGGTTTTTTCCAGGAAGGATCCAAATCCCGCCCTGCTCTGACAGCAGTAAAGAATTCCTGAAGGGTCAGATTGGCAACATCCAAGAAACCATCAGGAACCTGTAAAGATAGAATGAAAAGTTTAGGAAAAGTTTATTAATTTGACACCTGTATGGTCAATGATCAGCCTCATTTTAGCAAAGCTATTGCACTGCAGTGTTTGACAGAAACTGCCTATGTTCCCCAAGATATCATTAATTTTATACCATAACTGATAGGTTGTCAATTCTTGGTCCTAATTCCTTCTACCCCTAACCATTTATGGTTTGATATCAGAACAGGATCATGCCAAGCAGGGACTCATCCATGCAGACATTCTTATTTAATTATTCCATTATGTACTGTTCTGTACCTCTTCTCTAAATAACTTGGTATGGTTCACAATCTAAAAACATAATATAAAAATCCATCCTCAGAATAACAAAAATACACTTAGTCTTAAGCTCCTCCTTAACAAAATATGACAAAGAATCCAGTATGAATTTGGGGCTGTGCATTCGACAGTAGCAGAACAATCACAGAGAAGACTGTAAAGCGTGAACAACTGCTCTAGTACTTACACACCACATGATGTGGCTATAATTTAAGTAGCTACTGCTACATCATTAAATCTATTTGGAATAAGAAACATCTGTTACTCTTATTAGATAATTCAGTTAGTATTTCAACCCTTTAAGTCTCTATATAGTAGGATCAGAATGTAATCAGTATCAGTTTTTCAAGATGCAGGGCTGTGATACAACTTCCTCAATTACAGATGCTCAATGAATAATAATTGTAAGCTACAGTGATCTCTGTGGTATTCTGATTTGAAGAGATTGTGGATGGTGCTTTTTTCTATACTGTTCAAATATAGTCTCACCTTAAAATCATTCCCTTTGTTGTAATGGACATTAAGGATCCGGAAGAGCTCAGAGTCCCTGGTAACAATAAGATCACTGAGTTCTGTAATACCTTCCAAGAGAGCTTGCCTTGCAAATTTTTCCATCTGGATGTAATAAAATTCACGGAAATTGCTGAACCACTTGATGAGCTGGGAGGTGATACAGCGAGTAAACTGTTAAAAAGAGCAGTTAACATGGCATTATATGCTAACTTCTGTTTTCTCTGGACACTATGTTGTATTATATCTATGTATGTGCTTCCTCTGAAAACATTCCCTCTAGGTCAGGGGTTCTCAATCTTGGCAACTTTAAGACTTGCGGACTTCAACTCCCAGAATGCTCTAGGTAGTCCTTGCATAATGAAGTAATTGGGCCTGGAATCTCCATCACTAAGAAACACAGTAGAAAAGGATAATGTCACGTGATCATGTATTTAGTGACAGAAATTCCAGCACTTCAACTTGCCGTTATTAAGCAAATCACTCTGGATTGTTAAGTAAGGGCATCACGGGCCACCACTTGAAATTTTCTGCTGGCTTCCCCATTGACTTTGCTTGTAGAAAGCTGAGAGAGATGGATGCAGAGGGTGATCACATGACCACAGACTGCTGCAATGTCATAATCATGAGCCAATTGCAATCACATGAGCTCAGGGATACTGCAACAGCCAGAACTTCAAGGAGGTCATTAGTACCACTTGTTCAGTGCGGATATAGGTTCAAATAGTTTCTGAACAAGTGGTCATTAAGCAAAGGCCACATATACAGTGTAAATCTGCAATTATTTTGTACACACTTGGACATAATATGATTGGTACTTAAGTTTTGCATCATCTTTGCTTACCTTTCCACTTTTCACAAGCATCCGTGCTAAGCTGAGAGGGATGTTGGAGAATCTGTTATATGTTAGCAATAAAGTTAAGCTTACCTGTATATCTAGAAAATAAGACTTCAGCAGGGAAGATGTGGGATAGCGTGAGAAGAAGAACATCAGTTTAGCCTTTTTCAGATGGCCTGGGGTCAAAGCTTCCTGGATTTAAACTGGAGTCAAGGAAAACATTATTTGCCCAACGTGGGGCTGTACAGCTATCTGGATTCATAGAAGAGGATATGTAGCACCTATTGGGGATGCCTTATATTAAAAACAACTTTTTCTGCCATTACAAATCTGCTGCAGATGGCTCCCAGGCAAGCCCAACAAAACATTTTTTTGCTTTAAAGTGTTTTCAGGAGCAGATGCTGTTTGGAAGCACAGGTGTGCTCCAGATTCTACTGTGCTCCTCAAATCAGATACTCTGCACAGTCCCATTAATGCTACATGCTGTCCTCATGAGATTCCTTTCTATTGGTGTATTCTATATCAATACAATAGCAATGTTATCAGGCGGGACTTTGAAGGAAAAAATCTAGGATCTGTCTTGGAGGACATGTGGAGAAATACAGACTAGCATCTAAAGGGTGGTATCTCTGCCAGAATATAAAGATGCCCAATAGTGCCACTATAATGGAAATATTGTGTCTTAATCCCATGCAATGGAGACTAGCAAGAGACCTATTTTTGATTTTATGCTTCATCCGATTGATGAAAGTAGAAGTCAGTTAACTCATTGCCATAAAAGTAGCCTTGAGTATAATCCAGTATCGTATAACATTTCTATCTGCAGTGGCAGCTTTCGTTTTAAGTAGGCATTTAAATTCATTTTACAGAGTAAATGGAAATAGCACAGTGCAGGCTTTACATCAACGTAATAGCATTCAAACATCTTTCTTATAAGTAATGCACTATTAATTTGTTTGGCAAATGGCAACTAAAGGCATGTGGCTACAGGCAGAAATAAACTTTTCAAAATGTTTTTGGAGGTTCCAAAGGGAACAATGTCTTAAGTATTGCCTTTAGTCCCTTACCCCTTGGCAAAAATAGGCCCAATCTTTTATATGCAGTGTCACTTTTTTAAGGAGGATAAAATGCAACAAATAAAGCCCTCATTTCATTTGAAGTGTCAGGAAAGATGGACTCTGACCACTTCAGAAATGTTTGGAGAATATTACATAGGTGTTAATGAGCTGCATACAAGTTGTATCCCATATCCTAAATGGTGATAGTGCTTTACCCCACCCTATGTAAAGAGGTTTTAAAGACCCCTAAAGGATATATTTCTTGCTGAGAAATACACTCCATCCACCATGGCATGCATTTCAGCAAACATTGAGTTTGTAGAAGGAAGAGAAGCCAAATTTCCCAGGGAAGGTGGATATTGTTGTTTCATGCCTGATGACTTCAGTTTGATTGGTTGCCATGGCACTTCTAAAGACTCAGGAGATACCATTCTTGGAGGAGGACTGTCCCAATGGCTTTTTTGACCACAGAATAGCATTTGACTAAGAATGCCATTTTTTTGAACTTCAGAGGTCAAGATCAAGGGGTAATTCTCTGGTGCCTGGCAAGGTTTTCTCTCCATTTTTGTTTGGGTGGAATGAATAGGAAAGCCTGGAGACTTTTCTGTGATTAATGATATAGGACCTTTAGGAGAAGAAATCTTAGGAAGCCATTTACTGGGTATATTTCTTCCAACAGCTGTCCCTATGGAATTATTGGGCAACTGAGATTGAAGGCTCAAGATCTTTTTCAAAACTGAATCTACAGCATGTGTCATTACCTGTGTTAATTCTTGTCTTAATATTTCTGAAAGCGTTTTCTCCTCCAAATTTTGAATGCCTATATCTTCTTTCTCTGACAGCACAAGCTCTCTTATTCTGGGTGTGCTGTTCCATAAATAATTTTTATGTTGATCACAACAGAACACTTGACTGTTGGTGTCTATCTTTCCACCATACATCTTCAACAAGCCCATAGTTCTCTCTATACTTTCTTGGATTAGATTAGAATCATTTTCCACATCATGTTGAAGAAGCCTCTCTCCAAGTTGCTTCAACTGATGTTGCAAAGCATGGAGCTGTTTTTTCAGCTGAAGGAATTCTTCTGCTGAGATGCTGCTTCTAGGAGGTCGTGTTAGGGAAATTCCTGGCAAACTTTGCTGTTGAGGAAGTTTCTGTTTTCTCTTGTTTTGCCTATAGCTTTCCTTTCCTTTCTCAAAATTTTGGTGATGCTGTTCTTCCAGCGTACCAGACACTATTGGGTTTGACATGATATTCATTCCCTGGATAATATTTTCCACTCTAGCCTTCTTAGCTTGTAGTTGTTCATTATGGGACTGATTTGTGTTACCAAAGCCATAGGCAGGCAATGGACTCATGGCATTAGCTTTCCTAGAAGATGGGTGTTCAGTTTTCTGTGAGGAGGGGAGAAGAAAGCTTATATCTAGCTCACTATTTACTTCTGGCCGATTAAGAAGATGTGATATTATGGATCCATAATGAGGGCGAAAAGAATAATTTCCTTCAATGCAAAACTCTCCTTTTTGTTCATCTACACATACAGAACTAGGAATATAATTATATTGATTAGCAATACTATTCACATTCATCTCCCTTTCTTCTTTCAGGACAAAGAATTGATAGCCGGCAAAATAGTGACAATTAGAGCGGAAAATACAACTTTTGATTTTGAGAGCACAGGTGCCTTGTGAATAAAAAACTTTGTTTTTATACTTTAATTAGCCAAGAATCTGAAGCAGAAAGAAAGATTAAAATATATTATCTAGTATGTAAACACACATATGAAATTAACTGTCAGTGTACAAACTATCAGGTCTGAGGATTCTACAGTTAAAATACTGCAAGAAAAACAGAGCAGGCTAATCTACGTGTTTGTAGATTAAATGTTACACCTTGCCCAAGTTAGTATGTTTAAAGCATTCCTAAAGAGAGGCTTGCAGATGAATATGAAGAAAACAATCTTTGCTAACAGGTTCACAGTGTAATGGGATTAATTGAATTATCACTATATCAATTTATTTTCTTGGATATATCCCTAGTATTTTGAATTTATCAAGATTTCTGGACATCTTGGACATGGGATCTGGTAAAAAAGTATAATTCAGGTAGTCCTCAACTTAATAGCCACAACACAGCCTAAATTTTCTCTTGTTAAGCCAGGCAGTTGTCAAGTGAGTTTTGCCCCATTTTACAATCTTTTTTGCCACAGTTGTTAAGTGAATCACCATAGTTATTACATTAGTAACGTGCTTGTTCAGTGAATCTGGCTTCCCCATTGACTTTGCTTGTCAGAAGCCAGCTGAGAAGGTTGCAGACTGTGATTACATGAGTCCATCTGTCACAAATACATGCCAGTTGCCAAGTGCCTAAATTTTGATCACGTGACAGGGGGATGCTGCAACAATCATAAGTTGAAAAACAGCCAGAAGTTACTTTTTTTTAATGAAGTTTGTAACTTCTTTGAGGACTACCTGTACAACATTGGAAACAGATATACAAAAATGGATTGTTGATATTTACTATTTGCATTAGTTTTTATTATTATTTCTCTGTGTGTTTTGATTAGTTTTCGACAAATAGGACAGGAAGAAAACATGATCATTTGGGGGGGAAACTGTTAGTAATTTTGCAAGTTTTTCCCTCCTTTTTGTGGGGTAAAGTTGATATTATCTTGCATTATTCACATGTATATTTCTTTTCTGTTAATGAATTTGAAACACTAATAAAGTAAACATAAACTATTCATGAATTTGCTTAGAATAGATTACTGGTGTGGTCAGTACTCAGATGGAAGATTACTAGAGAATACCAAGAGTGTAAGCTAGATTGAGAACTGAAAAACATCCAGAAGAAAGCATAGCTATTCATGGCTATATTGATATTACCAGAAATCAAGCTTGACTACCTTTATCTCTCCCTGCCCAATATGCTGAAGCTGAATTAATACCATACTGATCACTCATGTAGATTATTAGCACAAATGCAATATGTGCACAGTAAGGAATGTCAGCCAGTAATTCAGTAATGTTTTCTTTGCACTAAGCGAAAGTCTCCATAGCAGCAACAAATACTATAATAAAGGCATCCCTCTTGAGAGTATAACATAGGAATTACTGTAGCCCAGTGCCATGTCTAGAAATGGGCAGATCTTGTATACCAACATAGATTAACAATAGATGGTCATAAATACTGGGGTCAGCAAGGTATCCAGCTAACAACGATAGTTTGGGAGCACCCCCAACCTGCAGGGGATCCATATCAAATAATTTCTCTAATTTCAAGTCCAAGGAATATTAGATCCAAATGCATCTATTTTATCAGGTTTAAAAGTTCATTTTATTGGACCTTATCTACATCTAGGTTGTATATTGATTTTTCTGTTCCAAAAGTCACAAAAAAAGTATTACTGGCTCCCATCAGTATTATGATGACATTTTGTGACACTAAAATGAAAAAGTACTTTTTTTCGGTAATCTGTATGTATCTGCTACTCCCTTTAAGTACTTTTTCTGTAAAACACTATAGTCTCGTTGCTGAATTGGATTCCAAGAATGTGATTACTTTGGAATATGACATACATTAATTCAGTCTCTTAATTTGTGCTCATTGGCTATATTAATTTTATGAATTATTACTTGCACTTTCATACCTTGCTTTACTCCTCTGAATGAAGACAAATATGTAGGTACCTAACAGTGAACCCTTTTCCAGTTTAATATTCTCTCCAAATATCTGGTGATAAGGGTTTGAGTCACATCGAATAAGATGCGACCAATGATCAAAGGTAACTTTGATCAAAGCTAACCTCAGAACTATAGTTATAAAAATAATACAAAGAAAATAAATTTACAAGAAAAAAACTGTAAAAAGGCACATTTGCAAATATATAAAGTCAAACTTTTAAGAAGGGGAAAAAAAATACAGCACCCCTCCACCAATAGACTACCTGACATTGATGCCTTTTCTTCCGTTCCCAGACATAAAACACTCACCTTGGCTGCCTTGTCCTTTCAAAGCATCTGAAGCCTGCTGTTAAATGAGAAAGGGGCAGAGCTGTCAATATTACTGTATCAGAGTCATAGATAGGGAGTGAGGGAAATCAAGAACAGCCAACCAGTTTGATGAGCCTATGAATATGCAAAAGGAACCAAAATCCATGTCTTCTATTGCATTTTCCCAGTACACAGGAAGGCTTGAGATGCTATACTTCTGAAGAGAGTGCTGGAAGCAATAATGATAGCATAGCATAGCATAGCATAGCATAGCATAGCATAGCATAGCATAGCATAGCATAGCATAGCATAGCATAGCATAGCATAGCATAGCATAGCATTAGTGTTGGGCCACTGGATAAATAATATTATGGGTTAAGAATCATTGTTCCTAGGATGCTTGTGGATATTTTGTGACAAACAGATGCATAGAAAAATGAAGGTTTCTGTGGGAAAGTGTTATTATTTCCCATGCCCTAATAATAAACTATACTTTGAATGACAGTACTGTTACTGATAATAAACAATTGCACTGACTTTGGCTGCTATTCCACACAACTACTTCTCTGTTGCTGATTATGTCAACAATGAATCCATTGCAGATTTTCACCTGCTTCTTCGTAGCTCTGTTTACATGACTTTGGTGTGGTGGGATGTCATTTTGGCTATTTCCAATACTAGCTATAGTCACTTGCTACCAGCACCATCAGAGGCCTCCGTGGGGGGAGGGGGTTGAAAAGTCAAAATGTCAGCCACAACCATGCAGTCAATGCTCTAATCCATTTTGGTGGAACACATGCTAAAAAGAAGTGGGTTTACAACTGCATGGATGTCCTTTAACTGTCTTGTATGCATTTTCCTCTGCAGGTGTCAGCCAGGCTATTTCTGGACACACTATAGTGCTCTTTCAGAATTCAGGCGAAACAAGCGATAACACCGCCTATTCGGAGAGCCACCTAAGCACACCGATCCTCCTCCCATCCCACTTTAAGAAGAGTCAGCTCTTTTTCCTCTGTTGGCGGGTGATGCTCGGTGGGAAAGGAAATGATAATCAAAATGCTAATGACCGCCCGTCTCAGCCTCATGCCTAGGGCACAACAGTGATCGGTACCGAGAGCAGCGCATTGTATGCTATCCGCTCTGCTGCTGGCTCGTGGGCTGGAGGTTTCGGTCCTATTTCCTCCCCATAGACGCCTATGTAGACCCACACGCCATAAGATCTGAGGTTTGGCTTAAATGTGTTGCTCCTTTTCCGTTATGGTCCGTATAAGAAGCGGCTTGTTTCACGATGTCATCTGGTTTAAAACAGAGGCTTCTTTCGTTGTTTCTCGCAGGTGACTTTCCCTCCGCTTTCAGAGAAAAATGACTTTCCATATAGATTAGTTACACACCGCTTAAGGACCAACTCTACACTTCAGGCGCCTATCTCCAAAGCCACTCCTCTATCTCTCAGCTAGTTCTAGGACGATCCAGCCTATCCACGCTCCCTCTCTGGTTCGGTTTGCCTCAATTGGTACGTCCCGCTTAATTCGCCCTCTACCGTTGGCCACTGTTGGTCGGTCCCAACTCGCATCCGGCCTCCGCCGGGCCTGGTTCCGGCGTGCGCCCTGGAATTCATCCTTTTGCCGTTGTTGCCGCCGCGATGTTGTTAGTTTCTCTAGTCCGGGCTCGTTGCTTCACCCGGGTGTTCGGCCGTTCGCTCTGTGCCGTTCAGCAGGTAGCTCGCGAGCAAGAATGGCAGGCTGGCAGAGGGGTCGGTGCTTGGGAGCCAAGGGGCTGAGATGGGGGAGCGGCCCCAAGGGCACTGGGGAGGGGCGGGGGGCAGCAGAGAGGGAGAGGTCTTTATTGCTCGCTTATTAGCCGGTGCTTGGTTATAAGTGCGAGGAATAGCGGGTTATTTTCTAAGGAGCCTCCCAGAAGATCCACGCCCAGCTGGGGCAAGGACACGGCGTCTTGCCAGTTCGAGGCAAATCACTTTGAACGGGCGAAGTCCTGTTTGAAAGGGGCGAACTGGGGTTGGAAATCTTGGGACTTCGCCAAGGCCGAGACTTGCAAGGAAACTTGCCGGGCACGAAGGTGGCTCTGAAGGTTGAAATACGGCGAGATTCCTCTTGGCCCAGAATGTGCGAGAGAAACGGGGTTTTAATAAAGAATTCTAGTCATTTGACCCCCAGTTGCCCTTATAGCACGGATCTCTGCAGCTTTAGTTGGCGAACATATCCATATCCAAAACGCCCTTCCTTCCCCTATGTTCCTCCACAGCAACCCTGTGAGGTGGGTTGAGCTGAGAGAGTGTGTGTGACTGGCCTAAGGTCACCCAGCTGTCTTTCATCTTTATTTTAATTTAATCTCTCTGTATAAAGCAAATTTAAATATTTTCAAATATGCATAATGAGGTTCTCTTTAGTGATGGTTATCAATATTTCACTCCTCCAGATGATTCTGTCACACCAAGACTGTACTGTGTACACACTCTGTACTCTTTGAAGGAGGTTTAGAAATACAAAATATAAATAACAATGCCTTTCAGATATATTTCCAAATGGATTCACAAAGCTCTTTAAAGCTAGCATGCTGCTCATTAGTAGCCACCCCATAAAGTACAATTGTTGTCTAGTCTCTAGTACATTTTCTTCATTATTCTACAATACAACAGTGTATTTTGAGAAGTAATAAGAAATATATTTATTGGGATGTAGCCCGTTTCTTCACTAGAAGAAACTTAGTATATTTTCATACAGCCCATATTGAGGTAATATAAAGCCTTTTCTCGATACCATTACAGTATATAAGAACAATGATGATTAAATTATAACAGACCCTCTAAGTCACTACTGTACATGAAGAATGATTTGTGTGTCTAGAAAGAACTAAAAAGTTGTTTTAAATAGTAAATGGGAGTACTTGTGAGGATTGGTCAGATTCTCCTAGGGCTTTGTGACAGAATGAAAGGGAGCCTATTGGATAAACTTTTTAATTATATGTTGTTTAGGGGGACATTTATGATTTCTTTTTTGCATTTTGTAGTTTTTTCCTTAATTGTAAGTTTCCCAGGGACATTGGCAGTTGGGCAGCCTAGATCAGGGCTTTTCAACCTGGGTCGTGGCTATTTGTAATTGGATTGTGTGAGTGAGCTGGCTGTATGAACCGTTTAAGAACTGAGTTACTAGAATGCCATTTTCCCAACTTGTTGGTTGGGGCAGGGCAGATGGACACATTTCCAAACAAAGTACATTTTTATTTTCAAAGAAAGCTAGTGATTCCCATATGGAGTCCTGAACCATTTTTTAGAGAGAAAGATATTGTTGGTAGGTGAGACTTTTCACTTTAGCATACAAACTTCTTATACTTCTTTTTTAAAACTTAAATATTCAAATAAAGAAGAATATATTTGAGGGCACACTGGAGCCTGGAGCAGTATCCTGGCTGTGTATCTGGCAATTCAGATTTAACATATGGGAACGCAGATGGTTGAAGTCTGTTCAGTAACCTATGGCCGAGTAAAACATGGTATAACAAGTAATGTGAACATAATCAAAGAATCATAATCTTACATCTTAAAATAATTGGTGTCAATGATTGTTTAAATCCAAGAATTTCAATTCTGCCATATAGATCAGCCTTATATAAAAGCTTAAAAGTCATGTCATATGACAGTGTAGTACAGACATGTCAAACTCGCGACATCACATGATGTCGCGCAACGTATCAGAGCTTTTTCGCCATTGCCGGCAATGGGATGGGCGCGGCTCCGGTATGATGAAACCGGCCCGTGGGCCGGCAGTTTGACACCCCTGGTATAGTATCTTATTTCCCATTCTAAACCATAAAATGTTTTGACCATGGTTTGTTGACTAACAACAGGAGTGACACAGCACTAAGTCATAAACTGTAGTTTGCAAAATACAATTTCTGTTAAATTATAGATAAAAAGATACGTTTCTTTTGCATGTTGTGTGAACTAGGTCAATATTGCAGTTATTCATTCTATGTTGCATGGAATAAATCTTACTGAATTCTGTGAGATTTTAGGCATGTCAAATTATTCCTAACTTCTCTTTGCATTGGTGATTTCTATTATTTTTTTTCTTTGGCAGGGAAACTGTCCACAGGCAAAGCGTTGGCTCTCTGGTGAGTTTTATGTAGGATTGGGCATATCATAATGCTGTAACAAGAAAAATCTAATCAAAACTTTGCTATAGAC